AAAGTCAGATCAGTGGTTATCTCAGGCGGCGCTCAGTTTATATTTATGGACATACTTCAGAGTATCTGCTGGATGTTGCCGTTTCATTTTTGGAAAATAGCAACACTTCACTCAGTGCATGTAGCAATCAGTCATACGACAGTGCCTCTAATATGTCTGGAAAACATTCAGTATTTCAAGCTCGACTTCAAGTAAAAACTAACTACGCTATATACGTACCATGTTCAGGACATTCTTTGAACTTAAGTGGCGTTCGAGAAATAGAATGTAGCTCTAATGTAACTATTTACTTTGATTTTGTCCAAAATCTCTACAAGTTTTTCTCATCGTCAACAAATCATTGAGATATACTGACTTTAAATTTGAATTCTGATGAAAATAAAATGTACTGAAAAGTTTGTCAAAAACACGTTGGTATGCACGCGCACATGCAATTAAAGCTTTACGTGTAGATATACAGAAATTGTAATGAGCTTTAATTGTTTAATTAATGATGAATCACAGGCAGCGGATATCCGACTTTCTGCAAAAAACATGAAAAATAAGATGAATGAATTACAAACTACTTTTTTAAATATTTTGGAATGACATTTTGACTTGTATTGATAAAGTGAATTTTTTCGTCCAGAGTAAAAATGTGGATATAGAAGAAATAGACTCTTTTGATTTTTATGTGTCAAAAGCAAATTTATGAGTCCAAAAGCCAATTTATTTATTTAATTTTATGAATCCTTAATAAAAGAGTATCAAAGTGTTCACAAGCTTGTAAGAAAACGTAGTGCTAGAGTAACGTTCACTGAAGGAGATTAAGACACAAGCGTAACTTTTGAAAGCAAACACAGCCAGAAATTTAAAGTAGAAACCCTTTTACCAGTAATCGACTGTCTGATTTATAACATCCAAAAATGCAATGAAAAAATCTGATGTGTACACCACATGATTTCCTTGTACGGAAAATTAAATTATACGCATTTTTTCTTGCATTTTATTTAAACTTTAGATTGAATTAAACACTCGCCGAACGAAGCGCATAATACAAAGAAATGCATTCTTGAAAATTCACTTTGTTCCATAGCGACACTTGCGCTAGGTTACTAACATATTATTTCATTCATATTATAACTCAGAATGCACAAAATTATATCATTTAAAAGAATTATCTAATCGTTGCCACATGTTCTATTCAAATACTATAATAAAGCTAGAACTATGTATAAAAGAATTAATCAAACAAAACAAACAGAAACAGTTTTTCACAGCGATTTGAGTATTTCTCATTTAATTAATTCAGTTCTCACTGCGCGAGAAGGCAAAATACTAAAACACAAAATCTATATTAAAAATACGAGTAAATCTCAACTTATTTCCTTCCTCGAAAATTCACAAAGATTAAGCATGATTAATTGAAAAATAAATGAATGCGTTATCTTTGTTGTTGCGAAGCTAAGTTTTCTCTAATTGGCAACAAATCACTAGTCTCCTGTTTCAAATGTAAAATCATGCTGCCATTAAAAACAGGCTTAGCGCATTAAACAACTTAAAACTGCCTGTTAATTCTAAAATATTGCACACAGATTTACTAAAAGCATAAAATCCTTAACCGGAAGATAAAAACATAATTCATCATTTTTAAAGCAAAAAATTTCAATTTACAAACATAGAAAGAGTAAAGAACTGAGATCACTAAACAGAGTGGATTGTATATAATATATTTATATACGTTTGGTGCGGCGATTGCAACCAAAATACGAGGTTGCACATCTACATGTTATAGCAGTCCTATATACAAATTTCAACGTTCTAGGCTACTCGTGTTTTGAGTTATGAGATACGACGTACGCACGAACGTCATACATACGTTAGTACAGACGCCATGAAAATTCTCTTCTAGAATAATTTTAAAGCAGTTTTTTTTTAATTTTTGAAGGAAAGATATTTTCTGTCCTTACGTACAGATATGACGCAAAAAACACGTTAAAAAATTGCATTCGGTAGCGGTCAAAATGGATGTTTTCGTTGAAATATGCGGCCTGAAACTTTTCGCGATTACAATACTTCCTTTTTACTTCGTACAAGGAAGTAAAAAACGAGGATGTACTGCTTGGGTGTTTTGAAAATATTTGTAATTTGAGAGCGAAATTAAAATAGCATGCAAGAAAATAATCGAAATTTTACGATAAAGATGTTCATGGGAAGAAACTGAATTTGCAATATCAGCATTTGAAGTCATATCGAATCATTAATGGTGAAAAATTGAAGAAAAAAACAAACAAAGAGAAGATATGGGAAAGCGGACGATTCATAAGAAATAGAACTTTTACAAATACGGATGATGATGAACAGTTGTTGCATGAGATAACTGGGATTGCTGTTAACATACTCTCTCTATATATGTATAATGAATGACTATTCACAGTTCCCAAATACTGAAATAGAAATGAGAGTTTTCTTGTCGATGATGATTACTAACGTGAATGGTGAGCGTTCATTTTCAAAACTCAAACTGGTCAAAAATGAACTGACAAATGGTGTCACTCAATTTCGCTTGAATAATTGAAGTTTGATGAGTAATAATTCGTGTGTGTGATTATGGCAAAGCCTCGAGGGCCATCTGCCTAAGGGAAGGGATGCCTTCGTTGAGGAGTAATAAAAATGAAATATTATTAAAAGTTGATTTTGAAGAGATAATTAATGTTTTTGCGAATTTAAAATGTATAAAATGAATTTTTTAATAAAACTTGATTTTATTATTAAGTGCTTTTTAAACGTTACGTTTAATGGAATAAAAGGGAAGCGGGTGGGGCCTACCTTTGCACAGGTGCCTGCCCAGGGCTTCAGTTCAAGAGCTCTAAGACGTCTCTGTCTTCAAGCTGTACCATTTAGTGTCAGTTATTGATAAGAGTGACAGAACAACATACTCATAACAGTTTTCGTTTACTGTAACTCCGTGTGATTCTCAATAAGGCACATTTTGATTTTACGAACACGGATATAAATTAACAATTACTGCTGACATTTTTCCTTGCATTTGGTAAACAAATTATTAAAATTTGGGTCCTGCTTTCTACAGAATAACAAGCAGTAGATTAGTTCGAAATTATAAACGAATTAAATTAAATTCTTTCTAACTTTCATGTTCTGTATCATGTAAAGCCACTGATATACGACTCGATAAGATCTGGAAAATATGCATATTCTAGGTCTGACATTTTTTATTTTTCATTTCATTTTTCATTTTATTTTTAATTGTAGTGTAACACTAGCATAAATCTGATAACATTTTGAAATAAATTCACGAAGTACATTATCTCGAGAACATAACTCGAGGTATTATTATCACTTTTTTTCGTTAGCAAATGGAAACGTTTTTTAATATGAAAATTATAATTCCAGATCAACAGCTCAGTTAAATAATTTTGCATATTCTTTTTTTTCTAAGACGAAGTTGTTATTGCAAAAGTTAATCGTAACCGTTGCAGATATGGTTGTTTTAAAAAGCTGAAATGTGAGTAAGATGGTCTTTGGTTTCTGATATTGCGTTAAACTGCCGTGCTCCAAAAATGGCTACTAAAGTTTCAGGTTTTTTATCAATATTCTGCAGGTCGCCTTGGAGGGAAATTTGTGCCGAGTTTTTAGGAACCTTTATCTTAGTGGTAAGGAATTTTTAATAATAATATTATGCTTTATTACAAGTATACCTTTGGCGAAGTTCAAAATCTGAATGTCCCAGATTGGAAGATTAAGTTTATCAGCTGAACTCGAAGACTAGTTTAATAAGAAAATGTGTTACTTTCTTAATATAACGGCCTCCAAAATTTAATCGCTAATCCACAGAGGTGTAATATGTAGCGAAGTATAAGAACGTGTGGTGAGATTTCGGTGAGATATCTCGGTTCATTAGTGAATGAATCTTGGGGCCGTTGTAATAAGGAAGTACCGAAAGTATTTTTTCCAACATTTTTTATTGGACCAAGTAAAATGTTTGATTAAACTAAAATGTTTTTTCATAGTTTGGGGAAAACTCCTGTTCGCGACATGAAACAAATAATTTTATTTATAATGAATCTTACTAGGATACATAATTTTCAAAATTTCATTCAATATAAATTTTTAATAATCGCGTTGCAAAAAATGTTTTTATCGAAAGGTAACTGTGTATCATTTAAGTAACAGGTGAATCAGTATGTGCTAGCCTTGCTCTTCTGGAAGCATAACTATAACAGTTTTCATAATTTAAAGTAGATTACTTAGCTCAGGTGCTGAGCATTTAAGCAAGAACAGCTAGCATAAATATATTGGCAAAAACTGTTGATGCGCTCTTATTTAAAAGTGAATGCGTCTTTAAGTATTATCTTCCTAAAGTTGCCTTCACGTAAGCCTTCTGATGACATTTGAAGCAACCTTGCGGGCGAGAGTTTTACCGATTCTCGTAACTAATTGCGTTTCTTATGTTCCTTCAGATTGCAACTTGCTTACTTATTAGGACTTCGGATCTGGATATTCTTAATACTTTTATTCAAATGTGTGAATCAGAGCACTTGAAGATATGTAAAATACTCGATAAAAGCGTAAATATATATTCTTCTCTTTTGTGTGAAGTTAACTTTTAACTTTCTAAATTGTTGAGGCACACCAGCGGCCAAACGGTGAAGTCTTTGAACACTGATAGTTTAATCCAGGGTTCAAATCCCAGCAAATGGGCTGGCTACATGGGCGTTTTTGTGGTTTTTTAGATGTGTAACGTGATACGAAAAGTCCTTTACGAAGGCATGTCTTCTGTTCGGCAGATAGCTCTTTAAAAAGTAGTAAACAAAGCCAAACCAAATATAAATTCACGATTTATATTTAGCAATAGCAAATGAATGTAAAACGCGTCCATCAACCAGGAAAATCTTTAATCTACAGAAATCGCAGTTCGCTAATATTTTGTCCTTTCATAGAATAGATTAAGGTCTTTAGTTTCATACGGGTTTGATTCCAGGCGATCGGAACGGATGCATGGTTGGTTTTCATGTATTTCTCCATGTGTAACGGGAATATAAGCCTATTTCATTCATAAAGTCCTCCACGATGGTATTCTTTTCCTTAGGCATAGCCGTCATGAGCTCTACCGTATTCTAATATTCTAACCTTTTAAGCTTCATACAAAGTATTTTGCATTGTTAGCTTTTCAAATGGTGGAAATGTTAATTTCAGTAATACTTAAATTTTTATTACCTTTCAGGTCTGTGGAAATGGAGTAATGGCTACCTTAACTCTGGCTCATTTGGGTTCTCACTCGGTTCTACTATCATCATTGGGATGGGGTCTAGCCCTAATGATTGCAGTTGCTATTTCCGGCGGCATTTCTGGTATGTAGAAAGGCTTACTGTGTATTTATTTACTAGAATAGTTATTAATCTTGATTTCAAGCAATATTATAATCTGCATGCAGATATAAGGTAACCTTCACTTTGCGTCGTAGGCTTAAACGAATGATTGCATAAACTTCAGAGTTCAACTAGCACACTAATGTTCAAGTGAATAAGTCCGCTGAACAAGAGTAGGTTGGAGTATGTTGGACATGGGTTGAAATTCAGGCAAACTGCTAGCTGCACAAGTGTTTTTGATGTGGATGCGAGACAATTTCCAAGTTCACTATGGAAACATAACCCTCCTTGGGCAAATAGCCTTAATGTTCTTTGCCATAATCAAAGTACAACGTATTCGAGTGTTGGAAATTATACGATTTCAATATGCAACTTTGAGGCCTAATTTTATTTTTTGAATTAAAAAATATATTCAAAAGGCCTTCCTTCTGTTTAAAACGACCCCATTCCAACGACGTTTTTGAAATCTATGCAAGCGTTGGAAGCGTACTAAACCAGTATTAGTGACCACTGGTTGTAACGTCCTGTTTCTTTAGGAAACGAGAACTTTTGAAATCTCGACTTATAAACAGGATTTTAAGTTTTTTTATCATTAAATGTGTTTATATTCCAGCTAATTCAAAAATTGCCGACATAGCAATCCAGTATTTGGGGAAAACTTAATACGTATGTATTAGTGCTACGGATAGTCTTAATTATAGATAAATGATTTAGCAGTGACGTTACATGTGGTTAAAATTGTTTATTCTGATTAGTCCATATTGCCAACTTTTCATTGAGCATAAAATGCTTGTAATTACAGAGATTTAAGCTTTATTTAAAATACCGAATTTCATGTCCTAAATTTTCAGGTAATTTCAATAGAATTATCTAAAATAATTAAATATTCTAAGAATGTATTGTAATGCACTCTAGCTTCTAAATCTTTCTCAGATGGATAACTTGTCTTCAAAGTTATGTCACGATGTAAACATTGGGTATAAGATTTCACGGTATCTATTAGTTGATCTCAATCGGATCTTTCGCCCTGTATATAGTATTAATATTTTTAATGCAATTCAACTTGAAATCAGATTCAGAATTATCTCTATTTAAAAAGTAAAGCCGTTTCGTATAAATCAAGCAGCAGTTGAAGCATTTCAGAGAATTTTGGTACTTCTAATTATGTTACTGAAAGCTTCAAACATCCAACCTTTGGTAATCCTTACTGAGTGTAATTGACATGGTATTCGAAGATTTAAACATGCATTTAATTATTTTTAACGCTAATTTCTCAAGCTAAAGATTAATACTGGTACTCAAACTATTTGCATTTTATATCTACATGTTACTTGCTCAGTGATTAGCAAGATGTAGAAACGTGAAAGCTTAGCAAGATTTAGAAAAGTGAGGATTTGGCCAAAACTTGACCCTTTGTGAAAGAGTACAGATTTCATGATTTTCTGCTTGCATAATTACTGTTCCCAGATTCCATTAAAGCTGTCCACTTATTGTGTGCCTAAAGCTATGTAGCTAGTTCCTTCAGTAGTGAACTGGCTAGCTACATAGCTTCCGTGCTTTTAATCAAGGACAATTTTCCTAGTTATCCCTTAAACAGATAATCGGTTTTTGCGTGTCTTGTGAAAGAATTCCAGAAAATTAAATTACACCGACAATAGAAATAGGTTCAACGGGAGTAAATATTATACCAGTTCTTAGCAAACAGCCGCATGGCTTGCCGGGGTCGGATAATGAAGTTCTTCAGTGTAGATAGGCTGTGGCTCATTTGCTCCTTATCTGTAACTATTACCTGCTTTCTAGAGATCTCTTGGTTTAACCCATGATATTTGAAAAACTAGACTACAAAGAAATATTGCATTCTTCATTTTCAATTAATAAAAGCACGCAATTCAAATCTTGCGTAATGATGTCTGTGATTTACAGCTCTTAATCCTCAGATGGCACTACCAAAGCATTGGTTTTAAATTCTAACGTGGAATAAAATGGCGGCATAAATGATTAAAAACTTTTTAATCTTGCTATCTAAAAAGGTATCGGAGTAATAGATCGCATACATCATTACAGAATCTTTACTTATGTTAAGTCGAATGCTTTAATTCTCAACTAAGCTTATTAAAATATTACAGGTGGGCACGTGAATCCTGCAGTCACCCTTGCTATGGCTACCGTCAAGAAATGCCCATGGAAACTTGTTTTGCCTTATATAACGGTCCAATATTTAGCAAGTTTCTTGGCTGCTTGTGTGGTCTACATACTGTACGCAGGTGAGTTTCTCATAAGCTTTTGATTCACAATCTATCTGGGAAATAAATTTGTAATTGTATTACTGGAAATGCTTAAGTTGGAACACACTGTTTTCCTCGTCATCTTTGAACTGGTATACTGCGGTTTCCACGAACTTGGAACATCATGCTTAATTTGAATCTTCTCTACTAGCGTAATATATTTCGGTCTTCGCTACTTTCCCCCTAAAACTACCATATTTCTTTAAACGAATTTTTGTCGCGCAATGAGATTTCAATGTTCAGAATTAATGTCAACATCCGTAATATTTGACTATGTGAAGTTGACAATGAGTTTGGATTTGTTGAGATTCAGCACCTTTATTATTACTGATGTACGTAATTTCATCGTTTGTTGTAACTACGATTTTTATTATCCTTGCTCAGACTTGAAATACTAAATTTTTCGTCATGTTCCTAAACTCTTCGAGCAATTGTTTGTTTTAGAAATGCAAGAATAGAACTGAAATTCATTAATGTTTCCAATAATTCTATTAATGGTTAATTTTCCCATAACAATACCTTAATTTCTCGATGTAGACAGAACAGGCATTGCCCTGCTGGGCGTTTTTGACGTACAATGAAGTTAGCACTATTATGCCGTTTCGCTCTTTGACAACACAATTTTAGTGTCGATAGGATTCAAACGTTTAAGCATTTTTTACCCAAAGGAGATTTATCACAAAGGATTGTTTGTCTCGAAACTGCATTCTGCGTTAAATTCCTCTCAAGTCTGAATCCTCCACACGAACATTAACACATGGAAGACCGAATTTTGAATTTGTATTACCTGTTTCCCATTTTCTAAAACGTTAATTTTTGATTAAAAACTCGACGATTTCAAATCGAGCACTGTACGGAATAAAACATTTTATCTCAAGCGCGCGAGACTGTCTGGAAATTTTGGAGAATCCTGCTCTTAAATATTTTGTGATGTTGCTCTTGAATTTAATTTTATGTGGTTTAAATGCGAAGAACATATTGAATAAAGGTAAGGCACAGAACCTTACTCCTTTGGGCTTAATATAAAATCTGAAAGCTTTCTGATTTTTTGTGAAATTGAGTGTGCAGATTGTAAATTTATTCTGAAAAACTTATCTTAAATGCGCAAATTCATCATACAAGTTATTGCTTAAAATTAACCTGTGTTAATATTATCCTACATTTTCATAGTTATTCAAATATACTTGCCTAAATCGTTCTGGAGAATATTTCCTTTCTTCGCTATCCAGAAGGTAAATTTAGCTGATCAGATCTCTACTTTTAATGATGGAATATCTTTTAGAACTAGCAACTGCATTTCAGTGGCTCATGCACAGAAATTCGCAATAATTCAGTCGTTCCACGGAAGCGTGCTCTATATTAATATTTTATCGTAGTACATTTTAGCGACCGAACGTCCTTATATTCGAGAATATTCATATCCCTCTACCCCGACCAAAGCTTATTTTAGTACCAGCGAATGAATACTAATTGAAATTCTACTAATGTTAGAGCCGTAGTGACTGAAAACTCATCGAACAATACTATAAATTGCAACCAAAGTTAAAAAATGAAATGCCTTGGTAATGAAATACGTGATGGCTGAACGAGACAAGTAAATTAATGAAAGATTTAAGAAGTCTGGTTATATTCGGAATACTTTAAATTCATTACTTTTCGTACGTAAACTTCGTAGGTATAATCTGATAGGTATAAATTACAGCTGACTGAGCAATTGCAGACAGATATCTCAAATTCCGTGTAAATCTAGCTTTCTGCTGTAGGGACCAAATATTCATTTTATATTAGGAAGGAGGAAATTTTACATTGTATGTCACTTCAACCTAGATGCATACCTAAAATCCATTTTAGAAATAGCTTGGAAAAAAATTTTTGAAAGAAAATTTTCTTGGTCTAATTGTGTAACTCTTGAACACGGCTAGTTTTGTATGCGTATTAGTTAAGCCTTTCCACTTAAAATCTCTAACGTCTTGAATAATAGGAAGCGCAGTCTTATTCAATTACAGCCTGACTTATAATTTATTTATCTTAACTTTGCGAAGGAAAATTTAATCTCTTGTAGAATCTCTTGCACAAAATTAAAATTAACGAGTGCGAATCTAAGTTGTAGAACAAAGCTGACTTCAAATATGAAACGGTAATGTAATAAATCGTTGAAAGGTAAACAAAATGGACTTTAGACTCGCTTTACCTACTCGCCTCATCACAAATAAGGAAAAAAATTATGATTTTAAATGAGTAATATTGGAAGTAAACTTAATTTATCACAAATTCCAGTATTTAAAGAATATTGGCTTTTATTATAAGCTGCAATCTCTTTTTAGTATATCTTTACTTCAACTAAAATATGGTTTGCCCACATGAAACTTGTAACATACTTTGCACAGTTTATACTCTTTGTTTGGCGCGGATAACTTCGTAAAATTTCGTGTCAGAAATTGCAATAAATCAAATCTCAAACTTAATTCAAGTAGTAATTCAACTAAAAATTCATTTATGTTAAATTATATTTTAGGTACGATTTGGTAAATACGCCATATGAGAATAGTTTAAGCATTCGGCAAATCGGTGAAGAAAAATTACGATTCAAAGTTAAAATTGTTTATCTATACAAGGTGGATCCTGAATTCCTTAAAGGACACCATATCTTAATGGGGCTATATTTTGTGTATGGGGAGTAGCCCCGCCACCTGACCACAAGTGACCCTATGGCTTAATTAGACCTTCCCAGATATAGGTACAAACGCAGCATATGTATATTTTTGTAACGGATTAATCGAGCATGATCAGAGTTTTTGTAGTGTTACGAATTTAAGTACTTTCCGAAGATCTGAATTTAGATTCCAGTTGTACTCTCTAACATCTAATAAGAATTTAAATTTTTAAGTCTTATTTCGCTTTGCTCATCAGATGCCATATTTGAATTCGACGGCGGGATGAGACAACTGCCTCCATCAGTCAACTCCACAGCTCAGATATTTTCTACTTTTCCTCAAGACTTCGCCTCTATTGGTACATGTTTCTTGGATCAGGTATGTCTCGCATAATATACTCATTTACTGTAATCCTGTAGCAATGTAAAAGTTACTACCAATTTATGCTTTCAATTAATAGTTGAATAGTTTAGATAAAACTTAAAATTCTCACTTCATGCTTAGTCCAAGCACTAGAATACTAAGAGACAAACTTAAAAATCATTGTATACCTTATTGTTTTCTGGAGAAATTTCCTAATTGTAGATTCATTTTTCGAAAGTAAATTAAATTAAACAGTATGTTCTCATCACACTTCTTGATGCCTATATTTTCAACCTATTTTCTGTTTTAGATAGTTTCAGATTAACGACTGAATTTCGGAAGCAATGGGTCTTGACTTACCTCAAACTTGGCGTTTTTCTCTAACTTTAGGTGTACTAATTTGTAAATTCACTGAAAACAATTTCTAAATTTGGCTTTTTAATATTATCTCAGCTGTGACTGTTGGCAATAGCTTTAAACAACTGTGCTTATTACAGATATGGAATTAAGAAAACTAATTTTGCTTTAGGCAGTTTCCTTCTGTTGAAGAAAAATTTGACTATTAAAACTTGACTTGTATTTTGCAAGTAATTTGAAGTGTAACCAAAATAGTTTTAGATTTTGATATTTAAACATCTTGTTCCACTTTGCAAATTTCATAAATTTTGTAAACGTTTTCGTAAAATGTTTGTTGTAGCTTTTTGCAAGAGTCTAACTTCATTTTCTAGGTAGTAGGAACTGCTTTGCTGCTTCTGGTGATTTCTACGGCTGCAGATACTAGAAACCTATGCATGTCTCCTCAGACTACACCCATCGTTATCGGCTTGGGACTCGTGCTCATTTGTTTAGCTTTTGGTCACAACTGTGGAGCAGCACTCAATCCAGCTAGAGATCTTAGCCCCAGACTTTTTACCATCATCGCTGGTTGGGGAGTAGAAGTTTTCAGGTACGTTTTATTAATTTAGAAAATAACCATTCCAATTTTTATAGTAGGATAAATTTGTTCTTTCAAATTCTGTCGCAAATGTTGGTTTCTCGTAAGCCATCTGAAATGATTCATGTCTTTAAAATATTCCGTATATCCAGCTTATTAGCACTTTGATAACGGAGCATGCCAATTGTACCCTACGCATAACCTGCCAGTTGATCTCCTTCATAGATCTGATACTGCCAGATCTTCCTCATAAGTTTTAGATAAATTGAAATTGATTTGAAATTCGGGATGTTTAATATTCTGTGACTTTAAGCAGTTTCAATTACTTGCAACGTCGTTATTAGACAGCTTCAATCGGCGTTTCACGTAGAAAATCGATTGTCAATTGGTGTGTTTCGTCATTGGTGTTAATATGTTAAAATCATCCGGCGTTTTGAGACTGTCTCCAAGAAGTTGGAATTTTACACCAGTTTCATTTAAGGGACGTAAATCAAATTTAATAGCAAAGACAGAGCTGATTTCTTAGCTAAAGATGCCTTAAATTTACCCATTGATATCAACATTAGCATTCCAAAGAGTTATTGGAAGTCCTTTCATTATAAAAAGCTTTTAGCTATGTGGAATGAGGAAATACATTTCATCTTGTAATGCGGAAGTCACCAAAAAGTTCCTTCCTTCTATTTACCATAGACTGAATTCCGAGTCTTTCCTCCCGTTAAATTTTAGTGTCTGTTTTTATCTGGTCACGGTAAATTTGCAAGTTATCTGTTTCGTTTTAATCTACGATCAAACAATTTATGTGAATGTTCAAAAAGAGTTCCTCAGGATGTGGAACATTTGATTTTCTCGTGCCCTACATTTCATGGCCCTAGATTATGCTTGCAGAACGATTTGAAAATGTTTGGAGTGACTTGGCCAGTGAACTTATCTGTTTTCGTGAAGTCCAGACTGCTGTTCTCTGCTTTTGTTCGCTTTATTTATGCATGTAATTTTTAATGTTTATTTATACATGTAACCTTTAATGTTCTAGTTAACTAACTTCTGTAAGCCCCGTGTTGTACATATGTGGTGCACGGGGAGTCTGTATGTTCTCAAAGGAAAAAAAAATAGCAAAGACAATTGAATCTTATTACTAAATTAATCGAAAACGCTAGTTTTTACGCTATTAAGAAAGTTTACAAATTTTGATTTCAATAATTGAAAGTGTTTTGTGTCGGATGCATACTTGATGTATTTAAATGTAGTTAACTGAATATACACTTTAAAGTGGTAATCGGATATTGAATCTTGGATTACTTGGTAACTACATGAAAATCAAAATAAACCTTAATTATGTCTACTATGCAGTTTTTAATGTTAACCATTAAAATGTTTTGAAGAACTTGATAAACTGGTAACTTTGACATGACTTGATGGAACTTCTTCGATTTCCTTGTACGTAATACGCAAGTTTCTTTTTTAACTCTTTATCCACACGAATACGAAGCAAAATAATTCGCAGTCACTATATGTGGTTGTAATTTGAGTTCCAGTTAAAGGATTTAATAAATTTGACTCTGAGGTCGGTAGAGATGGTATGTAGTTGCAACACATGAGTTTTATATCAAAGTGTACAGGTATCATTAGGGATTAAAGAATGGAAGATTTTTAAGTTTTGTCCCAACCAGCTTATAAACTATTGATACAACATAAAATTTAATGTGAAAATTTATCAGTTTTTGATTACGAACCTTCCTGCTTTTTAACATCCTGAGTTGTTTCGTGAAGTATAGGTCAAGAACTTCTCTATGGCAAAAGTGATTTCAGTTATGCTTTCGAAAATTAGTTCTTGTTGATGCAACCAGAACTTCTTCATTTTGTAATGCATAACTGGCAACACTTGGAATCGTTTTATACCTAACGCTGCTTTCCAATCAATTCTAATTTCAAAATGAATTATGTTTATTTGGAAGTCATTGGTGTAAAATGTCCACTTATTTAGAACTTTTAAGAAACTTTTGTTGTGTGTTTTTAAATATTAGCATTACTTATGTACTGTTTACAGCAGCACTTCACCGTAGAATGCTTGCAGCCACCTGTTACCGTAGAAAAGAAGCCTTAACCGATTTTTATTGGTGTCTTGAAAAATTTATTTTGTCTTGGTGCGTTTAATGCCGAACTGGTGATATAAGCTTATTTAAATAAAATTGTATTGTATTAAAATTATGCTGAGGCCACCATAAAGGTTTCTCTTCGAATAGATGTCGATTTGAGTATAGGTGTCAGCACTTGCAACAGCGTACCGTTATGAAGGCGCCTGAAAATAGTTTTATTGGATGAAAGTATTTTTAAACTAGATTTTGCTGTTTAGTAAAGCGATATCGAAACTTGTTCTTTCTAGTTTCCGTGACTATAAATGGTTCTGGGTGCCTGTAGTTGCTCCTCATCTTGGTGGCATTATTGGAGTGTGGCTCTACCGTTTGTTTATTGAACTGTCTTTCACGAATTACAGATGTGCACTGGATCAACTAGGTAAGTTAAATATGCTGAGAGAACATGTAAAACAAATCCTTGATTTTTATGATTACTTTAGAATAGTTCATGCGAACTTTTACTAATTCAGTACTTCAAAATTAATAAAAATGCAGCATTTTTGCGAATATATTTAGTTCCCTAAAATTCTGAATGTTTAAGATGAGACTTAGCTAAAACCTTTGCACTAAATGTTGAGTGTATAGTAAAATGAAATATGTTTATTCTTATCTTGGAGGAAATTTTAATGTCACTTAAACTCTCTTCAAATAACTTGGCTTTTTCTGAGCATTAAACCAAGATTTCATGACGTCTATGTATTGCATAAAACGTGTTCAAATTGACTTTATGTAATTAATTTACTTAGATAATATGCTCATGTTTTTATTGCTTAGAAAGAATCGATGACTAAATGCTCTCCAGTTCATACTATTCATAGTCTTCATCCATTTCAAGCCATATTAGTTAGATTTTATTAAATCAACTAATGATCATTCCTGAGGGTTCGATTATAATTTTAAATTCGATTGTATTCAATTAAATACAGTAAAAACCGTAGATTTATCTAGGCTTAATGTACTGTAGATCTAATGTTGAAAAATGCAAATGGAGAAAGTGGAGGTTTCTGATTTGCAAATTGTTTCCATAAGGTTATAAAACTTCACGTTTTGCATTATATGCTAGCCAAATATAGTTGCCATTTCCCTAGATGATAAATGGACCTATCCTAAGACCACCAGTAGGTCTGATCTTGCTTTTAAAATTTTTCTAAAAATGAGAATTCTCTTTAAACGCTGATCTTGATCTTAACAGATTTACGCAAGCAATTTAAATTACTACGCCAGTCGTTTTTGTCAGAGTATGAACCGAAACTGAACAGGACTAATCTTTTTCACTGCGCATCTATTGAATCCTGTTCTTTAACTGAAATACTTTGAATCCATTTTCAGTAATAGATAATTCAGACTTTATGAAATCTGACTTTAATTCTCGGAGGTGTTGTATAAGAAATGAGGCTTATAAATTCGAAATAAAAACTTTTAACTCTGCGCAATTAATAATTTCTATTAACATCGTGCAGGAGAATAAAATTTATATTAATTTTTTGGACTAACTTTTTAACAAAATATTAATTAAGAGAAGTTTTTATTTTAGCCTAAGATTCCATTTAATTTATTAGAGTGTAACTTTTATATAAATTTCAGTTACGCAGAATATTTTATTACTACTATGCGTAAATTTAAGACACTTTTCAGTTTGTTTTAACAAGTTTTAGTTGAATAGATTATGTTATTTTAAATTCTCGAAAATATAGAAAATTATACTTAATTTCCTTTCTATGTGCTTACGTTTCTACGATATAAAAATGGGCTCTGTGTAAAGATACTGTTCACAGGTAAAACAGTTCCACATTCCACTGAAATAGGTGCTCTTTAACTTTATAATCGTAACTGAAAATACCATAGATGTAACTTTTTTCAGTGAATATCCATTATTAGAAAAATAACATATCAAGTAAAACTAAGAGAACCCACGATAATAAGCCTACGTTTTATTGTAGGGACACTTTCTATGGTTCAGACATTGTGGCTTTCTTTAGCTGCAACTCAGTCAGTCAGATTCAAATCTGTCATTTGTTTGCAGCTGAAGGCGGTAGCGTGTGAATATCGACACACTCATGCTAAGATATTTTAAAATTTGGGTCAGACATCATTGGGTTTTATTAGTCAGTTGTGCTTTGGCTTAAGTCTTATTGTCCGTGTACTAGGATGATCCAAATGGATCATGGTCAGGTAGTCCTGATAACTGGATGCTGGGGAAAGCGTTAATACTTATTTTGATTGTAACTCTCAGCAAAAACTTCAGCTTAATTTGGTATTCACGTACTAGCTCAACCACCTTAGTTTCCAGATGTAAGGATAAGCCAAACTCTGCCAACTATGCACTTTTAACAAGTGGCATCGCCATTTCGATACGCAATGTTTTTGGTATTCCAATTTACAACGCTTTACTGCTCGCTCGATTAAAATCTCTTGATAATTTGATTTTGGTAATTTGATCTGGGTTCCAATCTCGGTGAACTATTTGGATGAACGTTTTCAGAACCTTTCTTGTTTATCTCGAAATGCCAGTCAATTTATCTTTAGTCCTCATGAAGTGAACTTTACCTTATACAGATAGCCTCGTGTGCGTTGCCAGAATCAAAACCAAACTAACGCTTTAAAATAGCCGAGAAAGTTTCATCAGAGAACCCCAGTTAAATAAGCTTGTTAATATTTACGATAAACACTTATGGCATAAAATGCAATTTTTTTGCAATTAAATCTTGTAAAACGTCGCCAAGGTGGTGCTAAGACGTAAGTAACCAAACGTGGAAATGCCAGTATTAAATAAGCTATTTGAATATTTAATCACTTCTTGAGTAGAAAATTTATGAAGCGCTTAAATTTAAAATGTGAAATGCATTTTTTTCAATTTTAATATTTGAACTCTTTTGCAGAAAGTATGGAGCGTACTGCCAATAACCGAATCAGTGAGCTGCCATTTAATGGAAACATAGATCCTCCATCAGGTAACTGCAAAAACTTAACGTTATGGAAGTTGTATCGAGCATTACTTTCATTTACCATGAAATAGTAAATACTACTCTTAAATCTTGCAAAGAAAGTAAATGCCATTTTGCATAAAAGCAACCTTTGCTGTAGTTGTAAATAAATTTCAATGCTATAGTTTAGATATTTAAATTATTTTAAACTCTTACAATAGCTTACTACAGCCAACTATATCGGTTCTTTCCAAAAAAGTAATAAATTTAGTAAACCCTAGCTCGCACCTTATCTCAAGACAAATTCGTAAATTTTTGTGTATTTAGTTCCTGTTTTAAGATATGGAAAGACTTGTCAATTTGAATATGTAACGCTTTCCGTAGCTGAGCATAATGTTAATATTAACAAGCTGAAGTAACGTACTGAGCAAGAACTTCTGTCGGGGCTGATAACTGATGGGTCTTTAATGAACATATTAATTTTAAATGTGACTTATGAAGTATTCTATGCTGATGTTAAAGTATTCCTCAATACAGAGTTCTTGCTTATGAAGGGCTCCACCAGTGAGAAAGTAATTAATACAGCTGAATACTGAAATATCGACCTCGTCCGCGTTCGATCCCAGAAGAACGGGTTGACTGCGAGGTTTGTTTCCGTTTTTCCTCGAAAATGCCTCCAGGAAGGCGTTTCTCTTGGGCAGATAGCCCTCGTTTCTTTGCCATATTCAAACAAAACTTAATAATCGCACTTGGAGTAAAGCGCAATTTACTCCAAGTGCGTCTTTCGAAGTCTTTCGAAGGACTAAATGTGTAATCGAAATTTCTATCTAAGAATACAATGTATATTTTAGCTGTAGAATTTCAATGTCATTACAATATAGAACAAATTTTTTCCATTTAGTTTAATAGAACAGAATTTCGTAACTGAATTCCTAAATCTGTACTGATGTGTTGCATACAATTTAAAGCAAATTAAAAAGTCGTATGTCCTTTTACTTGCTGTGTAATTCTGAGCCTTAAAGCACAGTGAGCATAGTGCGAACAATCCAATTGAAACATGCTTACCACATGATACGTTCCCTTTAGCAAACCTGTCTGGTCATGACACTCATTTTAGCTTAAATTTATCCAGCCACCATTCATGTACTCTATCCTTGTCTAATCTTGTATATCCTAAGTCTTCCTTCTCCTGGTGTTTTAATATAAAATTGCCAAATATTAACGTAGAAGCTGTTATCATTTGCTGAAAAATAATGCTTGATCAAAATGCGTCATATTTTTTTATTGAGACGGATTAAGCAAGTAAATGTAAGCTTTTAAATCATGCTTTACTGTAGAAATCTAGTAATAAATCACTTTTTCATCATAACCGATCCGGTAGAAGTTAACATATCTTCACATCTTGCTTTAAGTATAAGATCAGCATTTCATATTAAATGTCTAAAATGAAGCACGGAATAGATTTTAAGGAATATTAATTTCTTGTTAAAACTCAGTTTTAAGACCAAGGTCCCAGCAAACTGCCACTAAACACTAGTAGTTCGACCCGTCTTCAAACAAGGCGAAAGAATTGGCTGCATAGACGTTTTTCTTTAGCCAGTCCGTTCACACACTTGCGATGTAAATGAACAAAATTCATAAGGTCGTCTCAGGTAAATAGTCTTGGTATGCTTTGCTGTAATCAAATAAGTTAAAATGTTAATTTCAATGAGAGATGTTTACAGACCTCATTGATATCATAGACATAGATCAAGACATATTAATGACCATTACAGAACTGGCAAATATTAAGACAAACGACGGTTACGGAATTGCATTAATGTCTTTATAAACTTTATACTGTTATAAGCATCGGTACTTCTGCCGAGTTATGTGTAATATGTATGCAGTACATTTCATTTTATTACGAGGAATTTAAGTACTCGAATCTCATCAAACTTTTAAACTCTAATTCTAGAGTTCTAATTACTAGATGGAAAACTTTCGCGATGTTAAAATCTATAATCCTTAAACTACAATTAAGTTTACTAATGTTCAATTTGTAGTTCAGATTTTCGGACTCATAAAATGCATAATACCCAAGTTCAAAGTTCTAGTTTCTCCGAAGTTATTCAGTTTCGTTGCATTAGTTTGAAATATTGACGCATTAGTGCACTGCACGCCATTCAGCGTGTTTTGAATTCCAGATTAGCTCCACTAAAACTCATTAGCAGGTGATTAAACGGACTAATCTTCACCTGAATAAATTTGCAGGTAAACAGAAATGCAATACAGAGATTAGATAACGAGGAATTGGTATACATTTATGTATTAATGATTACATTCGTTAATAGCAACTTCCATGCAAGTTTGTTTGCTCCTTTCGGTTTCTGTTTAAATCCATAGTGCGGTGAAATCTTATAAAATCCTAAACAAATGCCACTCGAATATCTTATGTAAATGAAGCTGAATATTAATTTATGAGCGTATGAGCTTGAAGTGATTTGAACACACTTCATAGAAATATATTTTAATAAAAGCAGCTTGAAACTTCTAAACAGATACAACGTTTTCTGTTAATGAAGATTTCTTATGTTACTGGTACTCAAGTTAGATGAAGGTCATAGGCTCATACCTGAAACGCGTTCCGGCTTTTCTTCGTTTCATCTGAAACTCGGGGCCACTGAGGGCATTTTATGCCATAAACACTGATTATCTTGAAACTTTCAAAAACCGCTGAAGAATTTCTTTAAATCTCTGGCAAACTCCTCTTCCTCGAGGTGTCTCCTTTCCTAGTCACTATACTATCAAGGTTAACTAGCATGACATCGACGTCCTCGACTCGAAGCTCGGCAGGTAAGATATGTCACTATCTCGAATGTCAGAGGTTTGGTCTCGAAGGAGCATAAACTTTACTGACCTTTGGTGTTATACAATTTAAGAAGAGGAACTCCACAACAAAAATGAGCAACAGCTTTGCTAACTAAATTTAAAATTTAGCAACTTTCTCCTTCAAGTAATTTGTTAAGCGACGACGCTTGTCTATTAAATAGGCTTCGAAATTAGTTTCTCCTATCAGTGGCAACGTATTAACTTCTGAGCATTAGTCTTTCGACTTGGGTTTAAACATTGGGGAACGTGCTAACCGCATGGTTTGTCGTCTCGTGGCATAGGGAAAAACTGTTTCATATTCGATCTTAAAAATCGATTAGAGGTATTCTTTTCGTTAGGAAGATAGCCCTCGCATGGTTCGCCGTAATCTAGGTAGTCCTACCGAAATGAAGTCATTCATTTTAAATGCTAATTTTACGTGGCAATTAAAATTAGTAACTAAGCGTTTTAGAAAAGAAATCCGTTATATAGTTAACATAGCTGACCAAGAAACTACTGTGATTGACTATTTAGACTTTCCTAAAGGCTTGTCTGTTTAAGACAATCCTTCACGGCATTTTTGTTCGTATTTGTTATCGATATGCATTTTCTTCCTGCATAAATAGGTAGTCTATCTGCTTTGCAGCAATTGATAACAAAGAACGTTTTCCTAAAATTTGAAAGTTTTTCTAATAAAATTTGTTTAGTGTTAGCCTTTTTATTACGCGAAATAAGCTTTGTAATGGCCGAGCAGATAAGATCTCGGAACATTTGCAGTTTGACTCGGGACTAAATCGTGGCTATCGAGTCTACCCTGATAAATATTTCCCGTATGTGAAAATATGAGCAAAATTTCCTCCACTTTCCTTTAACAGGTAGCCTAACTGTACTTCGAATAATCCAAAATCGAATTTCTATATATAAACTACCAGCAAAAAGCGGCTAAAATCAGTCTTCCTGTAACCAGTAATCCTATAGTAGACCTTGATGAATCTCATCAGCTTTGTTATATGGATCGTCTAAACTCGCAGTAAGGATTTTGAGTCCCAGCTAACATTATCCTAGTCACTTTTTACTGGAACACATACTTTTAAGCCTTGTTTCAAAATGTTCATGGAATCTTTGTAAAGAAATTCTGGAAGTGCCAGCTTCCATGTCGAAACGCAGACTGAATAGAATATAAAACTTTTTAAATATTTTTGAGCTCACCAGCTGCCGAGCGATAAAGTTTCTGAACACTGGTAGTTCGGTTCGAGGTTCGAATCTCGCGAACGGGTTGGCTGCATGGGTGTTTTTTGTGGTTTTTCCCATTTGTAACGTGTATACGAGCTAGTTTCCCTGAGAAAGTCCTCGACGAAGGCCTCCTCATCTCATCGGAAGAACCCCCCCCATCAACCTCATAAGTTTTTTAAGAAATCCCTTTTTACCATGATTTGTAGTCATTTCCCTTTTATCCTGATCTACCTGTTTCTAGAGTGCCTGGATCTTTCAAAGTCATTTCTCCATGCCTTCATGAGCATCTCGGGTCCATTTCATCAATTCACTTGATACAGTGGGTTTTGCGTCTTGAATTTTATTTACCATTTGTCTGGCGCATAACCCTCGAGGTTTTGTGCCATTAAAAAAACCAACCACGAAGGCATCCCTCCCCTTAGGCAGATAGCCCTCGAAAGCTATGCTGTAATTAAATAACCTAACCTAAATATTTTTGACATGGATTTCACGTTGAATTCTAAAATTTAGTTTTGAACATACTTTTATTTTAAGAATTCATGCATTGATATGTCGTACATTTAACAGTCAAGGCGTTTAAATTCACTATTTAGCACGGTTTTATTAAAGAAATATAAATTAAAATAACTATGAAATTTTTAACAAATTGGTTTGCTTAGCTCATAGAAAACAAATCAGAGTTAAGACTTTACAAACATTTAAACCGAACTGTTGAAGAAAAAAAAACTTAAGACTCATTTTTAAAATTTAAATGTCTTCAGGTTTACCTATTAGGCAATACTATAACGAGTATATTCTGAAGAAAGTTCAAGCACAAAGCAAGTATAAAACTCTTTTTAGATTTCTTTTACCTCAAAGTATAGGTAGAATCCTGTCTCGCCAATATATCGTTTGGCGCTCGTTTTTGACGTTGCCAAGTTTCACTATACAGAAGTGACTATTTTAACAATCTATAGTTATATACCTATAACCACATACACTGCATACAAAATCGAAAGTTAAAGAAAACACATTACATTCTGCCTTCGACATTCATTCCTTGCATGACTAGACTAGGAAGTTCATATAGCTTTATTCTTTCTTAAAACTTTTAGAATAGTTTTTGGTTAAGGTTTCCTAGATCTCTTCCCTTGCATCTGAAATAAGGACTATTAAATAGGGAAGATAAAATTATCTGTGCCTGATTTGGGATTATTGTAAATAAACTTCTCTGAAACTACTTTATGAAGATGTAACGCCGCTTATTGGAATAACAGAAACCGTTAGGAGCAAAATAAGAACTTTTGAAGTGTTCCACATAAATTTGGGAACCGACAAGCCCACGAAATTCTTGAAAGAGGGGTGACTTTTTCAAAAATTATACATATTTCCGTTATTTTCATCTGATTTCTTGTATATTTCAAATGCTTTCGTTACTCTTCCTTCCCGCCCCTTTCAGTTTTCAGATAGGTGGCAAATGTTCATTGGATTAAAGCAAGCGATTAACTACACAGAAAATTCTGTTTTTAAAGACTATATGAGAAATTTCGTATACGGTAATGAATACTGTTATTTGGTAAATTTGCTGCAATCTGTTTAGAGTTAAGACATTATGTATGTCAAGTTCTGTTTTTAATCCAGGTTTAAAGTGTGGTAGATGCTGATGCTTGTATTCTGATAAAACTGTCAAAGCACTAAATATAAAAATTTTTGTATTAACAGGTTGCAGTGAGAAGAGCTCTTCAGGTGAAGATAAATCTCAGTATGCTAGTGTACCAACAACTACAACAGATACCAGCTCAAGATAGCCAATGTTTAAAGGTTTTTCAAAAGCAGCATGAAATGTTTGCTCTTTGGTGTTTTATGCAATTTTGTTTTAGTTTATTTGAGGTTAATATATTTTTAAAGCTTTAATTGTGATTTAACTATTGTAATAAAATTCTTAATACCTTTGTTGTCTAAGACTATTTTTCTTAATTTTTTTCCTGACATGCACAAACTTGAGTACAAGACGTTCACATAAAATATTTTCAAAAACAACGCTTCCTGTTCAAATTGCAAAAATAAGGATATTCTCTAAATTCTTACAAGGAAATTTAATGCTCTCGCTTTGGATAATCCTATCTAAGCAATTGTAGTACAGTTGAGCATTCGAACACTGACTACTGTCTGTAGTATTTACATCCCGCCTAATGAGAACATTAAGAGATTTAGAGGATCTAATTGCCCAACTACCAGCTTCGTTTATTCTAGTCGGTGATTTCAATGGATACAATCCTTTGTGGGGTAGTAAAGATACAAACCCACGAGGGAAGCAAATTGAACAGCTACTCCACGACCACTGTCTCTGTATCCTTAACAACGCAGAAAGCACTTATTTTCATCAGCCAACAAGGACCTTCCATTCCATTGACCTTGCTATTGTTTCTCCACAGCTTTTGCCATTTTGTTTCTTTAATGTAGAGAATTATCTATATAATAGCGATCATTTTCCTATTATCATAAGCATTACAGGAAATAGGAGTGTTTTTATACCTAGAACACCACGCTTTTTGTTGGACAAAGCCGACTGGGACTCTTTCTTACATTATGCTCTTTTTACTGAAGAAATAATAAAGAATGTGCACATTGATCAGGCTGTGAAGATCATTACAGATAAAATTATTCAAGCAGCTGATATATGTATACCAAAAACGTCGGTAAAACAGCCAAAATACCCAAAGCCCTGGTGGAATCCTGAATGCCAGGACGCCATCAGAAAACAAAGGAAAGCTTGGAGCATTTTTCGGCGATATCCTTCAGAATCAAATCTCGTAATATTCAAAAGGGCTAAAGCAAAAGCTCGGCAGGTGCGAAGGAAAAGTCAGAAGAATTCTTGGATCTCGTATGTGTATCTTCGATTAGCTCTTCAACTTCGAGTAAGAAGGTGTGGGAGAGAGTCCGGAAAGCGTCCGGTATCTACAAAGAGCACACACTTTCCATTTTAAAGACAAGTGGTGAAACAGTTACTAGTAGGGAAGAAATTGCCAACGCTATTGGACAGAGTTTCTCAGCCGTCTCACACACTAGTAACTACCCTCTTGAATTTCGTTTCGCAAAACAATGCATTGAAAACCAACTAATTTCAAATCTACAAAATACTGAACTATATAATTAGGATTTTACTGTGCTTGAACTGAAAAGCTCTATTGTAGACAAAAAATTCATGTCCTGGTCCAGATGATATTGCCTATCCTATGCTGAAACATCTTCCTTCCAAGTCATTGGCAGCCATCCTCTTTCTCTTTAATAGAGTATGGAAGGAACAAGTCTTTCCAAATGCCTGGAAAACAGCTTTTGTCATCCCCGTTGTTAAACCGGGAAAAGACCCTACTAATCCGTCGAATTACCGTCCCATCGCCCTTACTAGCTGCCTCTGCAAACTCTTTGAAAAGATGGTCAACACTCGTCTGGTTTATTATTTAGAGACAAATAATTGTATCTCCCCTTATCAGAATGGTTTTAGAAAAGGAAGAGCAACTATCGATAATATCCTACTCTTAGAAACAGGTATCCGTAGAGCGTTCGTTAGAAGAAATCATTATGTTTCCATTTTCTTTGATATAGAGAAAGCCTATGATACCACCACGAGTCACGGTATCCTTCGTGACCTATATAACAATGGTTTACGAGGAAACATGCCGATATTCATCAAACATTTCCTACAGGATCGGTAGTTTCATGTGAAGATAGGCGATACACTTTCTGACATGTTCCATCAAGAAGAGGGCGTTCCGCAAGGAAGTGTATTAAGTGTTACATTATTTAGTATAAAAATTAACTCTATTTTAAAACAACTGCCTCCAGCAGTCCAGGGTATGCTCTATGTCGATGACCTGCAAGTCAGTTGCCAGGGAGAAGACCTGAAAGACATCGAATGTAAATTGCAGACATCTCTCAATAGAATTGTTCAATGGTCGCAGGAAAATGGTTTTAGATTCTCTACTCAAGACTGTGTGTGTGTGTACATTTCTGTCGAAAGAAAATTCCTCACCCTGACCCCGAACTTTATCTGCAAGATGTGCCGATTCCTGTAGAAAAGGAAATAAAATTCCTAGGAATGATATTTGACCATAAGCTTACGTTCCTTCCCCATATTACCTACCTAAAAAAGAAATGTTTAAAAACTATGAATATTCTGAAAGTACTGTCAAATACTTCTTATATATAGAGCTCTCATTCGTTCGAAACTAGATTATGGATCAATCATTTATGGGTCGGCAAGGCCTTCAGTATTAGCCAAACTTGATTCGATACATCACCATGCACTTCGGATATGCACTGGTGCCTTTAGAACTTCTCCAGTGGAAAGCTTATATGTGGAAAGTAACGAGACCTCCCTGCGGTTAAGACGTGAAAATCTTTGTTAACCGAAAATTCTACGCGGTCAATATTGCTTAATGACCAATACTCCCGTTTATATCAGGCACGACCATCATGTGTCCCATCTTTCGGCTTGCGGATGAGTGCTTTGGTGGAGGAGTATAATTTGTTCTAATATAGATATACAGATGGAGGATTTTTTTGGAATTCCTCCCTGGGAGGATTGGAGAATCCATTCTCTGGATACTTTTCGACACTGGAATAAATCACAAACTAATGAAATCATCTACAAGCAGATTTTTGTTCAACATAGAAACAAATATAGGAAATATATCCCTCTATATACAGACGGATCAAAATCCCAGGATCATGTTGGCGCTGCTTTGGTCACAGAGAAAACAATAGTAGGGGTTCGATTACATACAGTTTGCTCTGTGCTTACTTCTGAGCTTATTGCAATCCATCTGGCTTTGACTTACCTTTCAAAACAAAAGTACACAAAATTTATTATCTACACAGATTCCATGAGTGCCTTAATGTCATTGAAAAATCACGCTCAATGTACTTATCCAGTTGCAATCAGAATCCTAAAGTTGAATCATTCTTTAAAAATTCGGGGATACCAGATTCTATATTCGTGGATCCCTGGACACGTTGCCATTAAGGGGAATGAATTGGCAGATATTGCAGCTAAAACTGCAACCACAATGTACAATCTTCAGATTCCACTAGCAGACATCAAAGGGTTTGTCAAAAGCAAAATCCTCAGCAAATGGCAGAAGCAATGGGATGACAGAGTATATAACAAGCTGAGAAATGTAAAACCCACCATTGGATACTGGCCATGTATGGCTAATAGAAAGGAAGATGTCCTCTTGACTCGACTGAGAATTGGCCATTGTCGCCTGACCCATGAGTATCTTCTGAAGGGAGAAGAGAATCCCAGCTGCCCAAACTGCAACGCAGATCTGACAGTCCATCATATCTTGGTGGAATGCCAGAGTTTTAATTATTTTCGCCAAAAACATTTTAATAGTTCAGAACTGGACTTAAAAAATTTAATTTGAAAAGCACATCATCGTAATTTGTTTCTGTTTTTAAAAGATATGGGCTTTTATAATAGACTTTAACCTGTTTTTTTAAAAGATATCAGCTCTTATCATAGACTGTAATCTGTCTCTTACCTAAGCTGGAAGTTTTTACAAATGACTAATTGCATTGTTACCATTTGGCGCAGATAACCTTGACAGGTTTTGTGCCAAATTACAATAATCCAATCCAAACTCGGCAAATGGCAGAAGCAATGGGATGACAAAGTATATAACAAGCTGAGAAATGTAAAACCCACCATTGGATACTGGCCATGTATGGCTAATAGAAGGGAGGATGTCCTCTTGACTCGACTGAGAATTGGCCATTGCTGCCTGACCCATGAGTATCTTCTGAAGGGAGAAGCTGCCCAAACTGCAATGCAGATCTGACAGTCCATCACATCTTGGTGGAATGCCAGAGTTTTAATTATTTTCGCCAAAAACATTTTAATTGTTCAGAACTGGACTTAGGAAATTTAATTGGAAAAACACATCATCGTAATTTGTTTCTGTTTTTAAAAGATATTGGCTTTTAGCAAATTAGATTGGCAAAGATATTGACTTTAACCTGTTTTTTAAAAGATATCAGCTTTATCATCAGATTGTAATCTGTCTCTTTTTACCTAAGCTGGAAGTTTTTACAAATGACTAATTGCATTGTTACCATTTGTCTGGCGCAGATAACCTTGACAGGTTTTGTGCCAAATTACAATAATCCAATCCAATCTACATGGAACTTTCTTTTTAGTAATAATTCAGTATTATGTACTTTTAATCGGTGAAAAATAATTGTCAGATATTCACTTTTGCAATACTTGCTTTTGTATATTTACTCGCGAGGTTTTGAGACATTACCAGTACTGTTCCCTGTACTGGTAATATAAAAACCCACTTCCTCAATTTATCAATTTAGAGTATTGTATATCCATATTGTACTTCTGCATTGGATGTATATATTTCCAAATAGATGATGCTTTAGATCTATACAGGCTGAACTGAATTTTAACGTGACTGTTTTGAGTTACCTGATTCTGTTCAGGGTTTTAATATCTGTAGACAAACTCAGGCAATGACAAACGGTTTGGTCATGCGAAATAACAAATAAGGCTAGATTTTCTTGCATTATATAAATTCATTCTTTTGTAAACTGCAAGCTATTTATCGAAACATAATTTAAGGATCTTACTGCTGGACCGCCCAAAACTCGGCAAAGGAATTTGAATACTACTGGCCATACGAGATAAAGCTATATATGTAATAAACCTGTTTCATAGACTCGAGTGTTTAAAACTTCTGAATATGGATTAACGAAATTTAATTAAATAATAATGCATTTCTGACATGATTAATTTTGTTTAGCGTTAGGTAAATCTTTTAATATAACCATTTCTGAAATTACTCTTCTGTAGTTTCGAAGAGTTTGAAAATACCTGTACAAAAATTAATGTAGCCCTAACATTTCGCTTTATTTTAAACTTCGTTAATTATTAATGCATGGCTGTGCGTGTG